GGAACTGGGACGCCGTCTCCTCCTTTTGTGAAGCAGTCATGCTCGCAAAGAGAGAGGCGGCCCGCGTGAGGGAGCAATCCTCCTCCTCACGCCGCAACGTCAGCCGCAACTGGCGACACTACGGGCGTCGGGGATCGAGGGACGATCTCCGGCCACCGTAAGTACGGGCCTGCGGTCGGCGAGTAAGGGCAGCTCGCCGGCCGACCAGAACCAGGCCCGAGCGTACGGCGCGTAGCGTTCCGCGCGCGCCTCAAAGAGCCAATAGACCACCACAGACGGGGCCCTAAAGGGCTGATGTTCAGCCGGGGTTGCGGGGTAAGCGCAATAAGGTACCGCGACCTCGGCACAGAGCAGGAGAAGGAACAGGGGGGTTTTTAGTCAGTAAGAGTCGCTTTGGTAAGTGTAATTTTTTTATATTTGTTAGGACAGGATAATGAGCAGACGGATTACCTGATGGTAAGCAATTAGCGCTGCTTATGGACACCCGCAAAAACAGAGGAGTTACGAGTTAGTACCTATCGTAGCTAATTTGCAATATAAAGTGATACATCACAATCACAACATAGGTAAATTCAGGAAGAAAATTCTTGAAATTTAAACTTAAAAAAAAACAGGATCGAATTTAGCTAGTTCTCAAACAGAGATAGAACATACGCCATCTTCATTCACACAATGGCACATAGCGCTTTCTTACTATCAAGTCGGACAGCCGGGGTTGCGGGGTAAGCGCAATGAGGCACCGCGACCTCGGCACAGAGCAGGAGAAGGAACAGGGGGGTTTTTAGTCAGTAAGAGTCTGACACTCCCTCCTGCCCGGCCCTGGGCGGGAGAAGTCATTTGATGATTTTCCCCTCACAAAAAAAAAAAAAAAAAAAACGCTACACCATATCACACCCCATAGTCACACCACAGACACCCCCTTTTACTACGCATGCGTGTGGGATAAACGCCATCTTTGCTAGCCCGTATTGATTTTGCTAAAAATAATAATTGTATCCCTTTCATCACCCACGCACTGTCTGTCGGCTACAATAAGAGGAAGATTTCGGAATTAAATCCATTTCATCATCACTACATACATTATTAGCCTATAAGTACTGAGAACAAAGGCCTCTTCTCACACGGAGAAGGTTTGAGCATAAACCACAATGCTTGCTCAATACGGGTTGACGATTTCAAACTTGTAATTAGAAATTACAAGTCCAGGTTTCTTCACGCTGTTTTCCTTCACCGTATGTCTGTGGGTGAACTAAGGTATATAGGTATAACATGTACCTAACTCGGAAAAGTCACATTGGTACTTGCCAGGTTTCGAAAGTGCCACCACGACTTTCTATTTCGGGAAGCAAAAACTTTTGACAACACCTACTTCTTCTTCATCTCAGAAGGGAAGCTAAGACCCCGCACTCGGCAATGCGAGTCATGAGGCTGACACAAGTCAGACACGGGGTCAATAGACCGTAGTACTGAGTTCCAAAGAACCCCATTATCAATCTACCTAACCAGATCCAAGACTCGCTTGCTCAGCCCCCGAACAACGACGCTTTCTATTATAACACAACTAGCTTTTGCCCGCGATTTTGTTCGCATGGAATAGTGACTTCTTGCAGATTTTTGGTTTAAAAACTATTCTATTTCCTTTCTCAAGTCCCAAAATATGTCTGTACCGAATTTCACACAAATATGTTCAGTAGTTTAGGCGTGAAGAAAAGACAGACAGACAGATAGAGTTACTTTCGCATTTATAATATTAGTTTAAATAATACCAGACATGTATTGTTTGAATATCAAGCCGTTTCACCCCCTTCCCCCTAAACATTCTCCCCCTAGTAATAACGCATGCGCAGTTACAAAAGGACGCCACGCGATATTCGGCAGCCATTTTGTTATATAAAATGGAACACAATTTAAAAATACAAAAAAGAATGAATGGAGAAATCCTTTTTTGTGAGCTGTTTTAAAAATAGAATTGTTTTTTTTTTATGTGATAGGACGGCAAACGAGCGGACGGATTACCTGATTGTAAGCAATCGGCGTCGCCCATGGACACCCGCAGCAAAGAAGGAGTTACGAGTGCGTTGCCGACCTTTTAAAGATTGGGATTTTGGGGATTTAGGGATAGAAATAGAAATAGAAATAATTTATTTGCAGAAAATGTATGTTACAGATATGGTGACATGTTAATTTATGGATTGGGAAGGGATTGGGGTAGGGGAAGGATTGTATATGTATTGTTAATGATATTACCTAAGTACCTAATTGTAGTTTTTGTAAATTGGCTACAGAATAGGTATTACTTTTTTAAGTAACTTGAAATTTAAGCTGTATTAGGCCGATATTACCTATCTTACGTCTCTGAGAAGAAAGTACAAAACAAAACTCCATTTGAATGACAGCTTGTTTTTATTAAAATCTTATATTCTTTTTAAGCCAAGTTTGGTATGAAATAAAATAATAATTATCGATCACTCATAAAAAAAACAAATTATAAACTTTGGTAGCACAGATAACAAATGACTAAAAGAAAGGTTTGTCAATGGTGTAATACTAACGGTGTTATTATTAAAACAAATGAAATTAGTCAAGGAAAATAGTAAAAAAAAATCGAAATTCTTACCTGTTTTTTAAAATACTCTAAATTCTTCACAATACACTTAAATACTTGATGTTAGATGCTTAAATAATAATATAATTTAAATCGGGTCATGAAATATTGTATTCGGGAGCAACGCACGTCCTGCCTCCCCGACGCGCGAGGCGGGAATGAATCAATACCAGACCTCTACAGACCAGACAGACGCTGCGATCCAATAGGATCGTTCCATAATGTCGATACAAAGTTATCGAAAAATTATGGAAACCTGGACTTATAATTTCTAATTATAAGTTTGAAATCGCCAACCCGCATTGAGCAAGCGTGGTGATTAATGCTCTAACATTCTCCGTATGAGATAGATACCCTTTATAGATATCCTTTGATCAGCAGTGGGCACTTTTAGGCTGATGATGATGATGTTATTTGATTGAACAACTATTTTTACCAGTTGCCTGCGACATTGTATGTAGCTCTCTTCGGATCGTTCGGACCGGGGATCGAGAATATTAAAAAAAAACCGATAAGAAAAACTGTGGTTACGTCTAGCACCATGTCTGTTGTCTACTGTCGTTCTAAACCTTTCATTACTCACTCACTCCATCCCGCTCACTCACTCCGTCGACCGCCCTGGCACTCAGTCTTTTCCTCCCACTCGCCATTCGTTCCCACATCATCATCATCATCATCATCAGCCTATAAGTGCCCACTGCTGAGCAAAGGCCTCTTCTCGTACGGAGAAGGATAGAGCATTAATCACCACGCTTGCTCAATGCGGGTTGGCGATTTTAAACTTATAATTAGAAATTATAAGTCCAGGTTTCCTCACGATGTTTACCTTCACCGTATGTCAGTGGTGTCTAAATAATCATAGAAAGTACATATATATAACTCGTTTCGTTCCCACATATATGTAGAATATACCTATACGGTATTACATTGTGCTTTATTTATTAAAATATCTGTATTTGTATCTAGATCCGATATTTGGTAGGTATTATGTCACATCACTAGAGTAAACTCAGCTATTTTTATCCGCGATTAAGCTTTGAGGGAGAATTATAAATCTAGGGTTCTCTCAAATCACTACATACTATAAAACAAAGTCGCTTTCCCTGTCCCTATATCCCTATGTAAGCTTAAATCTATAAAACTACGCAACGGATTTTGATGCGGTTTTTTTAATAGACATAGTGATTGAAGAGGAAGTTTGTAAGAACGTCCATTACATAGTGGAGAAATTTAGTATAAGTATTGCGCTATTGGGACAGCGAAAGCGACTTTGTTTTACTATGTAGTTTTTTATATGATAGGTCGAGCAGACGGATTACCTGATGGTAAGCAATCAGCGCCGCCCATGGACACCTATAACAACAGAGAAGTAACGAATGCGTTGCCGACGTTTTATACGATTAGGGATTTTGAGATTTAGGGATTGGGGGAGGGGAATTTTAATGTGGGAGAGCCATGCTTCGGCACGAATGAGTGGACCGGAGTGATACCACGGCCTCACAAAAAACCAGCATGAAACAACCACAGCTTTGTGTTTCGCCGTGTGAGTGAGGTTAGCGGAGGCACAATCCTTTCGCTCCCGCAAGACTATGTAGTGATTAAGAAATAAATAGAAACAGGAAATAAAATTACTTTGATTTTGAAAAAAAAATTGTATTTATTATTCGATATTACAAGTCACAAACACCATACGACACCTTACATTAATTAACTTAATATAAATTACGTCGACTTTACAATGCAATGAAATATCCCTTCAAAAATAATCACACATTCATTCATTGATTTTACAATTTTTTATATAGCTATTTAACTACTTAATGTATAATTGTAGCTTGTATTTATTTTCTTCTCGTAGTTGATTTATCGAACACAAATGCCCACCACTAATATTTCTCCACCACCCAAAGTTAGAGAAGGCCTAAGGCTTTAAATCCGCCATTGCATATCGTGCAAAAAGTATAAATAACGAACTAATAAATAAAGTAATAAGGATGCTGTTTGACATAAAAAAATATGGCGTCATTAGGTACGGATAAAATGTCTGTACCTAACTGTCAATTTTGACAATTCAAAAATACTTCGGCATTAAAATGGGTCTTTGTGAAGCAAAACTTACGTTGTGTTTCGCCGTGTGAGTAAACTTACCGGAGGCCCTACCACCTCCCCCTCCTATACTTAATCCTCAAATCCCCCATTCTTAGATCTCTTGCAATAACAGAGTGTGGGAGAGCAATGCTTCCACACGAATGGGTCGGCTCAACCGGAGTGATACCACGGCCTCACAGAAAACCGTGAGGTTACCGAAGGCCCAATCCTTCCCCCTCCCAATCCCTAAATCTCCAAATCCCTAATCCCTAAAAGGTCGGCAACGCACTCATAACTCCTCCGTTGCCGGGTGTCCATGGATGGCGCTGATTGCTTACCATCAGGTAATCTGTCTGCTCGTGTGCCGACCTATTACATAAAAAAAACTCTTTTGGCACTTATTACTAATGTCCTTTGGAAGGCGACAATTGCTTACCATCAGGTAATCCGTCTACCCGTTTACCGAACTATCTCATAAAAAAGTGTTGGTAATGTCCCAATGTTTCCAATTGTTGAACGAAATAATTCAACTACTTTCAAGCTATTCTAGGGGAGTATAGTCTGTATTGCCTGCAACTCTGTTGACGTGTCATTTTCAACGTAATACTGTTCATAACTAACGAACCCCCATCTGACTTGAAATTAGTCGAGTAATTCAACAAAAAAAACGAATAAACCATATAAAATATTATACAAAGATTACATTCTATTTATAATTAAAATTAGAGTGTGCTTTTCAGAAGACCGTCGCAGTCTTCTGTCAGTTCGCGTCTTCGTCTACTAGTCTTTGCGTCAGATTTATCCGGTCTAGCTTATCTCCAGCTCCTCGAGGAAGACGGTCTATGAAACGGACTCCACCAGCTAAACGCATTTTGTAAGTTACCTGAAAACCAAAATAAAAAACAATGTATAGGTAAGTCAACCTACGGTGAAGGAAAACATCGTTAGGAAACCTGTAGGTCTACTATAACGTGTTATAACGTGAATCTTCCGGGCGAGAAAGAGGGCTGGAGCTATGAAAGATATAGCTCCATCTCTCTTTCTCGCCCGGAAGATTCACCCTCTGGACTTATAATTTCTAATTATAAGTTTGAAATCGCCAATGCGCCTTGAGCAAGCGTGGTGGTTAATGCTCAAAACCCATATCTGAAGAGACAATTGCTCGATAGTGAACATTTATAGCCTGATGATGATGATTAATAGTCAACAGGCCATGGCATTCCACTTCTGGACTACGTAAGGGTCTTCTCATCAAAAGAAGGGTTTGGTATATCGTTGACGCTTTATAATTAACCACACAAGTTTCTCACCCGGCTGTTGATATGTTCCACCAGCTCCGCTTCAGAAGCTGTAGCTCCTGACTGCAGGACTATGAAGGCTACGGGGAGCTCTCCATGCACGGGGTGAGGTTTCCCCACCACACCCACCTCACGAACAGCGGGATGCTGGAGTAATATATCTTCGAATTCGGCCGGTGCTACCTGATCAGAGAAGATTTTAGTTTATATTCATTGCTTAGAAAATTGTATCTATTATGGGTTTATGTAAATTTTTGGAGGGGTTATATTCATCATATGGCTTCTCTAGTCTTGGGCGGAGCGAGACGAAGTATCTGACTCTTAGTGACTAAAAAGCACCCCGTTCCTAATCCTGCTCCAACAGGCCGAGACCACGGTCCATTATCAGCCGGGGTTGCGGGATAAGCGCAATGAGGCACCGCGACCTCGGCCCAGAGCAGGAGAAGGAACAGGGGGGTTTTTAGTCAGTAAGAGTCTGACACTCCATCCCGCCCGGCCCTGGGCGGGAAAAGTAATTTGATGCTTTTCCCCTCACGAAAAAAAAACGGTCCATTATAGCGCTTGATCCTCAACCCCAAATCTCCCTGATGGCGAGCTATGGTACCGCCAATAAACACCCACAAAACTGCAGGAGTTACAAGAGCATTCCTGACCTTTTGGACATTAGAAAAGTAAGGATTCGAGTATTGAGGATTGAGTCTGGAGTAAGAAGATGATGAAGAGACTCTGATGGCGCAACACAACGCAAGCTTTGTTTGACACTGGTCCATTACGAGGCAGTCGCATTACTTCAGTCGAGTCGAAGAATGCCTTTCCTGATGTAAGGTACTTACAGAAATATCATTAAACTTGATCAGTTCCTTGATTCTGTTGACCACGAAGAAGTATCCGTCCTCATCATAGTAACCAACGTCTCCAGTCTTCAGGAACCCTTCCTCATCCTTGCAGTCTGGCTGGACGTTGCCCAGGTAGGCTGGAAAATGGTATAAACATGACAATTAGGTAGTTTCCTTGGTCGAAAAGAAATTACAATATGTTATGCAGTTTGAAAATAATACGATCTAATGAATGAAGCGGTGAGTATTTTAAGGCGGTGAGTATTATCTTTGAGGCGCGCGTGGTACGTGCCTTACGCTCGTGTCTGGTTCTGGTCGGGCGGCGAGCTACCCTTACTCGCCGTCCGCAGACCCGCGCTTACAGTGGCCGGAGATCGTTTCTCGATCCCCGACGCCCGGAGTGTCCCCTACTGCGGCGATTGGGGCTTGAGGAGGAGAAACTCTCCTCCTCAAACGAGCAGTCAGGTTACCTGATGGTAAACAATTGACGCCAACCATGAACACCCGCAACTCCAGAGGTTTTTCGAATGCGTTGCTGGCCTTTTTGAGAATAGGTTTCGAAGATTTAGGAATGGGGCAGGGAAAGGATTAGGACTCCGGTAACCTCACGCATATGGCGAAACACAACAATGTGGTTATTTCACACCGGTCCTGTATGACGCCGTGGATCACTTCGTGTCGAAGCATAGGTCCCCCACGCATAGGTATAGGTGATGTCAGAAGACCCATACATACCTTTTATGACGCTGGGACCTTTGATGCAGATCTCCCCTCGAAGGTTTGGACCCAAAGGCTGTCGCGTCTCCAGATCTACCACCTTTGGGTAATAATAAAAAATGTTCATGAAACAACCTGCGAAATCGGCGAAAAAGGAACAAGTCCTAAAATAAGAAGACTTTCTGTGGGGTTAAGGCCACCGCTTCTTATGCATAAGGGTCTGAATCCTAATAATTACCAAAGTGACTTTTCAGATTTACATGCCATTTCTCAAAAAGAATATTTAGGCACCAATGACAATCGATGAATGAAAACATCATGAGAAATCTGTTAGTTATAAGTTTGAAATCGATAATCCGCTTTGAGCATGCGTAGTGGTTAATCTTCTAACCATGTCCATGTGAGAACAGGTCTTTGCTCAGCAGTGAGCAGTTATAGGCTGATGATGAGACTACGGCCATTGATAATTGCTTACCTTCATTATAAAACCCAGGCCAGGTAATCCAGAACTGCCTGCTTTGTAGCCCTTGGTGCAGGCCAGCTCGTTGCAGATACTTCCACCTTCAGACATGCCGTACAGCTGGAGAACTGACACCAGACTTGGTATACTGGGAAATAAAAGTACAATTCATTCGCTACCATCCCTTTTCTTCCCGTGGGTGGAATATAGACTTGAACTACAGAGGCTGTGAACCAATTCCTGAACCTTTGACAGCCAAAATAACTGGACGAGAAAGACTTTAGATTCTAGGTGGACTTTCACTTTTGGTTTTGTAGTAGACTTAAGTAATATAATATGAAGACCAGGGTTATGAGTGTGTGTATGCAGTGATGATATACGGTACAGAGACGTGGTGCGTTACTTCTGATCTGTTGGAAATTCTTAAAATCTCCTAATGAGTGATGGAGAGAGCTATGCTTAGAGTTTATTAACACGACAAAAATTGCAATGTGGAAGACCGTCAAAGAAATAGAGTTAAGACAGTACTTAAATTTGCAAGCTGAAGTGGCAATGACCACATCGTTCGAAGGACTGACGGCTGATGGATTAGAGAAGTACTCGAGCGGCAACCAAGGATCGAAAGACGTAGCGTGGGCAGGTCTCTCGCTAGGTAGACAAATGACATGAGTCACGGGGAGCCAATAAAAGAGAAGACTTAAGGGTAACTATTTGCCCAGCAGTGGACTGATGGTCTTCAGCTGATGATGATGATGAGAAACATAATCTAGGTCTCACCGTTTCTTGACGGCCAGAACTGCGTCTTCTCGGATGTAAGTGCTTGAAGATACAATGTAATTGACGGAACTGTGATCATATCTATCCAGGTTAGCCGACTTGATCAGTTCCGTTATGATCATAGGAGCCAACTGGAGTACCCTGGCCTGTGGAACAAAATTATATCATGAAACTCTTCTGGCACTAGCTGCATGACCGATTAACACATAGCCGAAAAGCCCTTTGTTATAATAACAACAATTAGGTATATCATGAATGTGCCCGGCATCATGTCAATATGACTTTTTCCGATTTACATGAACTTTTTCAGATGATCTTAGACACCATTGTGATAGGGTGAAGAAAAACATCATAAGGAAACCTGGTCTTATAATATCTATATATTTGAAATCACCAATTCGCCTTGAGGTAGCCTGGTGATTAATGCTCAAACCTTCTCCGTGTGAAAAGAGGCCAATGCTCAAAATTAATGATAAAAATTACCTTATACTTTTGCACTGCTTCCAGCATCTGGACTTCTCCTCCATTGACGTTGTAAACAAGAGTGGCGCTAGACCTCAAGCAGGCGAGGGCGTACATCAATCCATATGTATAATAGAACTCCCGAGATGTATATACAACCATTGATTTGTAACTGAAACATAGAAACTTCCTAATCAAAGAAAAGACAAGGGGAAAAGACAAAAGACGGTGGTCTTTTCTCCACCACCTAAGCAATGAAGTGACTTACGATGGTCAAAGTCGAAGTCAAAGTCAAATCATTTATTTCAAATGACCACGAAATGCACTTTTGAACGTCAAACAAAAAATAAATATCAAAAGTTAAATGTGTCAGTCGGTCGGTTTGTGCTCTAGTGAAGATTATTTCAAAGTGGGCACTTTTGAACGTCAAGCAAAAAAAAAAAAAGAAAATATAATTCAACAGGCTTAAAATGCGTGTCAGTCTTTCCGTCTGTCCTCTAGTAAAGCTATTTGCTCGTTCCAAAGTGTAGATTCCTATGGAGAAGAACGAGCAAGAAATTCCATGGATACTCTTTTTAAATAATTTTCACGATTCATTTTTGGATGGAGTACGGAGTGGATGGAGTACGCCTACCCAGAAGTACCATATTAAGTCAAGCCTTGAAGATGCCTAGGGTGTCTTCTCGCCCTTCAGAGAACATAGGCTCCAGCAAAGAATTCTACTCCTTGGCAGTTTTGATAATAAAACTGGGACTAGACATGGTGCTTGAACAATGCCATGAGATTACCAGGTGAGGCTTGCTTAGGCCAATGTCCGGCAGTTTTCGTGCACCCGTAATTACATGGTAGCTCTTAGCAGGAATAGGAACGGGTTGGTGTTTAGTCAGTGAGAGACTGATACTCCCTCTCGTCTATCTCGAAGCGGGAGAAATCTTTCCATGGTGCTGTTACAATGAAGCTCCTGTGACTTACTCTAGCATCACTTGATTTCAATACTAACAGTTGCAATCAAAACAAGTCTACTCAAAGTGCTGTTCTTCTTTCAAAAGACCTTTAAAAACCACTTCAAAGTTGGCAACAAAAACTTCATTTTCCTTCGTCTTTAAAAACCATATCTTATCTATGAATTTATATAAGAGTTTTGTCTTTAGGCTTTCTGAGATAGGGCTAAACAAAAAATGGATCAGCTACGATTAGCAATCGGGGTCATCCATGGACATCTTCAACACCAGAGGAGGAAGGATTGGGCCTCTAGCAACCTCGATCAATTGGCGAAAAATACTTTTGTTGTATCATGCCGGTTTTCTTTAAGATCCCTTAGGAGCCGAAACATGGCTTTCCCCGACCAAAGGGCATCCTATTTGTGTCAAAATACTTACTCTTGAGTCGTCATATTCTGTGCATTCAGCAGGAATCCTATGTGAGTAACAGGTACACCTTTCGGAAGACCAGTGGTTCCAGAGGAGTAGACGATAAAGGCAGTATCCTCCCACCCATTTACGGTGACCGGCTCGAAGTCTTCTAAAGCCACGGTCTCAGTCAGGAAGTCCTTGAAGAGTATCGCACCATCCTGAGCCTGGTCTCCGTACAAGATGTAGTGTTCTACGCTCCCAACTTCGTCAAAGACCGGTTTGTGCTGTATGAAGGCGGTTTGGGAACAGAATACGACTCTTGGACGCACTATCTTGACTCGATGGGCTAGAGGATCTAAAAAAACAGAATTGGACTTGTGTGATTTCTCCGAGTTATATGGACATTCTTAGATTATTTAGACACCACTGACTGTGTAGAATTACATCATAAGGAAACCTGGACTTATACAGTGTGTAAAAAGACACTTAACGAAGCCGTTAACTACGCATACTGCAGTTCCAACTAAGTAGCTTTACGCTAAAATTATCACTGGGAAACGACTTTTATTTTTAGGTATCAAAAATAATAATAATTTTATTGCGCGCAATGTAAAGCAAACGGGCTTCGTGTCATTGTGTGCGTAGGTTCACAGCTTAGCATTAAAACGCTGTGATAAGTACGTAGGTCGACGTTGTACTTCACAACAACAAAACAATTCTGTAAAATAAAAATCCTACTGAGATGCACGATGTTTTTGTGCGGGTCTGCATTTATTTATTACGTACATTACTGTTCGTAACTTCAAATGCGTAATTTATTTAGAAAAATCGAAAATTCAGGTAATGTTTGTTTAGAAAAAAGTTTTGTAATAATACTTAGAATTTGATTGCGCAAAAAAAATAAAAAAATAAAAATGCATTTTTGACCTTCAATATCTCGAGAACCCGTGGAGTCCCAGCTATGGCATTAAAGAAAAAAATGATCCAAATAATGGGTAGAATACGAGGCTTTCGGCTTCATTAAGTGTCTTTTTACACCCTGTAGATTCTAATTATAATTCTGAAATCGCTAATCCGCCTTGAGCAAGCTTAGTTTTTTTTTTTTATATGTAATAGGTCGGCAAACGAGCAGACGGATTACCTGGTGGTAAGCAATCAGCGCCGCCCATGGACACTCGCAACGCAGGTGTTACGAGTGCGTTGCCGACCTTTAAGAGATTAGGGATTTGGAGATTTAGGGATTGAGGAGGGAATGGGGAAGGGGAAGGATTGGGCCTCCGGTAACCTCACTCACACGGCGAAACACAACGCAGTGGTTATTTCACGCCGGTTTTCTGTGAGGCCGTGGTATCACTCCGGTCGAGCCGACCCATTCGTGCCGAAGCATGGCTCTCCCACACTTGAATAGTGGTTGCTCATACCATCTCCGTGTAAGAAGAGGCCTTTACTCAGCAGTGGGATAGTTATGGACTGATGATAAGATGGGATACTTACGACTTCCATAAGTAGGGTCAGTAGGAGAGAACACAGCTCCCGAACACATAATACCCAACACAGTAGGTAAGAATTCGAAATTTTTCTCGCTGCATATGCACACTACATCTCCCTTTCCAATTCCCATACGAGAGAGTGAGAGAGCGATATCAGCTATTGATTGTGCCATTTCTCCATACGTCATTTGCTCCGATGTGTCAGCGTTAATCTGAAAGAAGAAAAATTCTAAATACAGTACTCGTTTTTTTAAGGGTGAAAACTTCCCCTGCCCTAGGTGGGAGTGTCAGACCCTTACTGACTAAGAACCACCCCGTTCCTTCTCCTGCTCCAAGCTCCAGAGAAATGATGCCCCGGCCTTACAGGACACCGACTTTTTTTTGTGAAGGGAAAATCATCAAATTACTTCTCCCGCCCAGAGCCGGGCAGGAGGGAGTGTCAGACTCTTACTGACTAAAAACCCTCCTGTTCCTTCTCCTGCTCTGTGCCGAGGTCGCGGTGCCTCATTGCGCTTACCCCGCAACCCCGGCTGTCCGACTTGATAGTAAGAAAGCGCTATGTGCCATTGTATGAATGAAGATGGTGTATGTTCTATCTCTGTTTGAGAACTAGCTAAATTCGATCCTGTTTTTTTAAGTCTAATTTTTTTTATGATTTTTCTTCAGGAATTTATGTTGTGATTGTGATATCACTTCATATTACAAATTAGCTACGATAGGTACTACATATATGTATTTAGTACTACATATGTTTTCGGCGACGCACTCGTAACTCTTCGGTTTTTGCGGGTGTCCATAAGCGGCGCTGATTGCTTACCATCAGGTAATCCGTCTGCTCATTTACAGTCCTAACAAATATAACAAAAAAATTTCACTTACCATAGCGACAATATCTTTATTGCCAACCATATTGTCGTAGACTTCTTTCCCGAAATTCAGGTGAGCGGGAACTCGCCCATTTTGATTTCCATACTGATATAATTTGTTTTTGATCATCTTTTTATATTTTCACAATCTTTTTTGGTTCGATATCTGTAAAGAGAAACAAAATTAACTGTTAGGTATTAAGATATATGCCAATACGGCCGTCTTGTTGTTCGATTGATCACCCAGTGAGAATATCAAGCAAGGGATCTCAATGACGATTATCCCTTCCAACACCAAAAAAAAGGGTTCTTGGGATATGCGAGAAGAGAATTTAATTTTACCGATGCTTTGACTAAATGTTAGTATTAAACATAAACAACAAAATGATGTAACAAAGAAATGAATTGTAAAACTGATTGTAAAAGAGTAACCATGGAGTTTCTTGCTCGTTCTTCTCCATAGGAGTCTACACTTTGGAACGAGCAAATAGCTTCACTAGAGGTCGGACAGACAGACTGACACATAAAGTTAAACTTTTTGATATTTATTTTTTGTTTTACGTTTATAAGTGCTTTGAAATTATCAGATTCTTACTGACTAAAAGCCACCCTATTCTTTCTCCTGCTCAGAGCCGGGTCCCTGTACATCATTACGCGTCCATCTATAACTTATTATTAAGAAGGGAAAATCCTCAAAAGACTTCGCCTGCCCTGGGTGTGGCAGACGGGAGGTTTAGTCTCCCATACCATCCTCCCAAAACACGCTAGCAACGCACTGGTAACTCCTACGAATGGAGGGCGCTACAGATCAGAAATCTATGTATAAAACTACGCAACAGATTTTGATGCGGTTTTTTAATAGATAGAGTGATTGAAGAGGAAAGTTTATATGTATAACTAGTTATTCCCGCGTGGTTTAATTCGGGGCTCGGTTCCATTTGATTGTAGCGTGATGTTTTATAGCCTATAGCAGTCGGGAACATTGTAACTTTTTATCAGTGAAAGAATTTTGGCAATCCGACCAGCGTTTCCAAAGATTACCCCCTACATACAAACTTATAAATTTTACCTCTTTATAATAATATTATTATAGATATTCATAACATCCATTAAATAGTGGAGAAATTTAGTCCCAGCATTGCATTCCTGCGAAGACAGGTCTTGGTAGGTACCTAATTTTTATATGTATATTAGACTATATACATAGATACATATATTATATAGTTATGTAAACTATATATGTAATCGATTCCCGCACGGAACAACTCTTTGTGTGACCCACAAATTGTTGTTCCGGGTCTGGGTGTCATGTGCATGTGAAATTGTATGTTTGTAACCGCACCCACGACACAGGAGAAAATCCTAATGTGGGGCAACGTTTTTTTTTTAAAAAAAAAACACTATTGACTTCATTCTACCTACAAAACAAAAAAAAAATATCCCAACGACCTTCAATTGAAACTTAATGTATAAATAGGTATTATTTTCAAACCTGTTCTCATTTTTAGAATATCATTCTTGTTCATTTGTTTTAGTTAAAAATTTTGTTATTATTTTTTTTAACGTCCTTTTTTATTATAATGAAGGTTATTTAGATAAGCTACCTATGTCGATACACGTGTTATTTTTTGTAGGTAGGAAGGTTTTGTATTTAAATGTGGGAGAGCCAAGCTTCGGCACGAATGGGTCGGCTCGACCGGAGTGATACCACGGCCTCATAGAAAACCGGCGTGAAACAACTAACAGTGTTGTGTTTCGCCGTGTGAGTGAGGTTACCGGAGGCCCAATCCTTCCGCTCAAGCAATCCCTCCCCAATACCAATATAATCCCTAATCCCTAAAAGGTCGGCAACGCACTCGTAACTCCTCCGTTGCGGATTGCTTAGGTACTATCAGGTAATCCGTCTGCTCGTTTGCCGACCTATAGTCCGATACACTCTTGGTCGGTTTTTGTTCAATGTGATAGGTTAGTAGACCCTCGTTATTGTAAAGGTGTCACTACTAGTGCGTTGCCGACCTTTTGTTGGTTATTTACGGTTTGTGAATTTGGGGATTGATGTTGAAAGGGATGGGGGGAGGGAGTAATGGGCCCCCGGTAACCCCACTTATACTGCGAAACACAACGCTGTGGTTGTTCCACGCCAGTTTTCTGTAAGGCCGTGGTATCACTCCGGTCGAGCCGACCCATTCGTGCCGAAGCATGGCTCTCCCACATTTGAACAAGTTATTTATAACTATCTTGAGAATCTATTTATCAAATGTGTCCAAAAAAAACCTTGTCACACTTTGTCAGAACCGGAATACATAAATCATAATTTTTTGAGGATATTAATCATAAAAATCGTGTAAGTATGTAGTACTTATGTAGGTGCACATAAATTTAACATTTTTATCATAAATTATGTTTTAAAAACATGTTTTGGTATATTAAATTAGGCATTTATCGTCTTTTTTGAGGTTTACATGTGCCTTAAGATCGATTTTTTATGGGCAAAGAGCAGACGAAGTGCCTGGTGGTAAGCAATCAGCGCCACCCATGGACACCCGCTGCAGCAGAAGAGCTACAAGTGGGTTGTGTCCTAGGTCAAAAATAAATTAATTCGACGTTTCAATACAATAAAATATTGAAAAATAACTATACTGTTATTCATCGATATGTCAATGCATTAAATATTAGATTTTTTTAGCTAATTTTTAAGAAATAAGTAAGCTATTTGACGCGTGCGTTCGTGCAGCGGAATGTTGTTGAATTTAAAGATTTTAATTATGCAGATATTTAGTGTATGACGTCGTATAATTGTGTATGGTAAAAAAAAATTTGTGCACGCAACCATTGTGGAGAAATTCACCAAAAACTGATTCCGCTGGGCGAACGTTGTCCTGGCGGAACTTTTTTTAATTCATAGACTTTAGAAGAAAAAAGATGTATCCAAAAATTAGTGTGTATTTGTGTGTAATTGTGTATGTATGAATAAAACTAGTGCATGCATAAACTTCGGAGAAATTCAAGTTTCCGCTACGCGAACGTTTGGCCATTAGCTAGTTTTCATATAAAGCGCTTACATAGAGAGCTGTAGATTTTTACATACGTTGTTTTGAATTTGTGTATATTTGTTTAAAAAACAGATTTAGAAAAAATCGTAGGGTTTAAAAGATAAAAATATAAACGTAAAATACGCTTATTAGGTCTTAGCTCTTAAAGTATGCACTTTAGGGTCTAGATTTTCACGTTTATACAAACCTTGTAAGTGTCTGCAACATGTTGCCAAGTATCAATGATGTTCCGTTAGTAATTAAATAGTTATAGGACAAATTTACCATGAATAGATCACTGTTTACAAAGCAGTCAAATATCACGACTTTCTAAATGAATTGCATGGTAAAATGTATGCCAATAATTAGTGTATTCATTCAACTATTCACATGCAAAATTTCATGTCATTAAATTCAGTAATTAAAGAAAAACAATTATAATACTGACGAAGTATCGAAAACCTACATAACCCGACCAAGTTCGGATGGCTACAAAAAAGCGGCTGTTCAATATATTTAGGTAACATCCCAAAATTTACAGTATAATACCGGTATTGAATTGGTACAGGTGATAACACACTTGTTGTTTCGAAATAATTTATAGGTCATTTATTTTTGGACACCTACTTTTTTAAATGTATTTGACTATGACAGAAAGTAGGTACTATTTACGTAGGTACTTTATTTAAGTATGCGCTTGAGATTTGAGATATAATCTAATTATATTTAAGACAAATAAAATTCATACAGCTAATTTCTATTGAAGATTTCACGGATCAGGATTCTAACTATAGACCCCTTAGGGAAATTAAATATTTACCACATGTAAGTACTTAAGTACTACTGTTTAGGTAAATATTTATCATATTGTAGCTTATTACACTATTTAACCAATATTTTTTAGTACACTATTTAACCAATAGAGGCATGCACGAGCGTGTGTACGATACTGTGTTTAATTTTTTCCTAACGCTTGTGTACGATAATGTACCATATTAATAAATGCTATATTGGAAAGTTAAGAACGTTTCTTAGATATATGGCACGGCCGTTTTTTTGTAGCCATCCGAACTTGGTCGGGTTATGTAGGTTTTCGATGCTTCGTCAGTATTATAATTGTTTTTCTTTAATTACTGAATTTAATGACATGAAATTTTGCATGTGAATAGTTGAATAAATACACTAATTATTGGCATACATTTTACCATGCAATTCATTTAGAACGTCGTGATATTTGACTGCTTTGTAAACAGTGATCTATTCATGGTAAATTTGTCCTATAACTATTTAATTACTAACGGAACATCATTGATACTTGGCAACATGTTGCAGACACTTACAAGGTTTGTATAAACGTGAAAATCTAGACCCTAAAGTGCATACTTTAAGAGCTAAGACCTAATAAGCGTATTTTACGTTTATATTTTTATCTTTTAAACCCTACGATTTTTTCTAAATCTGTTTTTTAAACAAATATACACAAATTCAAAACAACGTATGTAAAAATCTACAGCTCTCTATGTAAGCGCTTTATATGAAAACTAGCTAATGGCCAAACGTTCGCGTAGCGGAAACTTGAATTTCTCCGAAGTTTATGCATGCACTAGTTTTATTCATACATACACAATTACACACAAATACACACTAATTTTTGGATACATCTTTTTTCTTCTAAAGTCTATGGATTAAAAAAAGTTCCGCCAGGACAACGTTCGCCCAGCGGAATCAGTTTTTGGTGAATTTCTCCACAATGGTTGCGTGCACAAATTTTTTTTTACCATACACAATTATACGACGTCATACACTAAATATCTGCATAATTAAAATCTTTAAATTCAACAACATTCCGCTGCACGAACGCACGCCTATTTGACGCAAAAATACTATGACGTCATAACTCAGTGTTTTATACAAATTTCATATAAAAGTATAGTTTTTGACATTTGGAAAAAAGTATCGACTTTGAGTAGTTGGAAACTACCGTATTGCGTTACCGGCCTTTTGAAAGTTAGGGGTTTCGGGGCTGGGGGATTTAGAAAAGGAGATAGAGGTGGGGAGGATTGGGCCTTCGGTAACCTAATTTTTTTTTATAAACATAAAAAACGTTGCCCCAGCCTAGGATTTTCTCCTGTGT